ATATATTTGTATGGCAAATCTTAATATTTTTGCTTTAAATAACAAATATATTTTTCTTGAAATATATGGCAGATTTATAAACTATTTTATAACTACAAAAACAAATAACTTAATTATGGTTTTTTCTTTTTTTTTGTTGAAGTAAATAATAAACTATTTCGTATAATTGAGTAATATTTCAAGAAAAAAATTAAAATCTTATATAAAAAAACATGTTTTTATGATATTTTTAAGGTTTAGAAGTATTTGTTTTGAATTAAAACAAAATATTCAAACTTTTAATACTATTTAAAATAAATTTTATATGAGTTGCTAATTAACTAAAAGAGTCAAAATAGATTAAAGCTATATGTATTTTAAAAAATTATCATTTATATAATTATAACGTCAAAAAATGATTTTTTTAAATATATAAACTAAATTGATGATTCTGGTAATTTATTGGCGGCTTTTAAAGGAAAAGAGCAATAGTTTATTGTCCATAAAAAATATATTTAAAAAAAAAAATTTATGTTTTCGATTAAGAAGCAATAGTTTTTTATGCTTTCATTAAGCTTTACAAATTCAATCAAATTCATCTAGGGATTTATATATTATAGTGGTCATTTACCACTCAAAGAGCACAAGTTTGGACTCTTTTTAGTTAGTGATAACTTGGTCTATAATAATTTTATTCTAGTTTTTTGTTAAATAAAGTTAAAAAAAAAATTATAATAACTTTGTATTATTTGTTGTATAAAATAATTAAACTACAACTATTATATAACATTCTTTTATAATAATTTATTTTTTCACAACTCTAACTATATCAAATCCCTTACATCAAAAATTAAAATAAGATTTATATTAAAATAAATTTAAAAAAAAAAACCCAGCACAGGGGGGTCGCGGCACAGTGGTGACATGGTATAGTTGGATCAAGTATAATGATATCTGAGAGTGATTAAAATCACTATAAAAAAAACGCTTCGATGCAAATCATTAGATAGTGTTTAATTTTAAAAAATTGGTGTATTATTCCAAAAGCTACAGGATCTGCTAGTTCATTATTAATATCCTAATTAAGGTAAGGTATGTCGAATGAAAAAGGGTTTATTAAAAAATAATATTTCTCATAAAAAAATTGTGTTGATCCATACACTTTACATTAAGTTATAGCATTATAAAGTTAAAAATGTAAAAAATAAAATCAAGAATATTTACATAAAAATAGCATTCGGTAGCAGTTTTCACCACATTTTATATTATTACATAAGCTTTAATTTAAGATATATATAAAAGTATCAGACCTTCCGGAACATTTTCAAAAGTTAAGTTGAAAAAGTTAATTTTTTGTGAAAAAGTTGTCTTTTTAAATCCCCCTCTGTGGGCAGATAAAGGGTCAAATTTACAAAAAAAATATACCAAATAATAGGTAATGATATTATGCATCTATATAAAAAAGAATTATATTGATATGTTCATTTTTGAAAAAGTTACGGCACATTTTAATAAAAAAAATTGAAAAAATTTCGAAAATTAGCGATTTTTAAATTTGTAATTTTTTTGGAGGTTTCCCTCATTTACGGGGAACGGGGGAATTTTTTTCAATTTTTGAGGGTAATGTCTAGATGACATACACATATTATTATTACCTAATGACTAGATACANAAAGTTGAACTTTCCACTGTGACTATATTACAATTATATATAATATTATAATTGTTAAAATGTTATAAATTACTATGATATTGAAATTTATAATTAGCAGATGAATAAGTTTAATTTTACGTTTTAAGTGGAAAAATAACTTTAAATCAGGTTTGATAATAAATATTAGAAGTTATTGAATGATTATTTTTTTCTACTTTTATAATAATATATTTTGTTCTGTGAGATGTTTCTTTAAAATTGAAAGTGATAAATTAATCCAATATGGTTTTAAATGAATTATTATTTAGTATTTTTTCAACAATTTTTACATATAATTGTACATAACAATCAAGGGAATATTTAAATCATATTTAAAAAATAAATTTTCTGTAAGGCAGAGATATATACTTTATCAAATCTTTATGATATAATATCAATATTTAATACATTATTTCCCGAGTAACTAACCATTTTAAATACTATATTTATGACTACGAATGGATAGACTTATCACTTTCATTCCAAATTGTTTAACAAGCCTCGCATTAAGAGTAACCACGAATATTTAAATTGTTCAACAGAATGTTCAAAAATTAATAAAATTTTTATTTTTTAAAAATATATCAATGATAATTGAATTTATAAANAAATATATCAATGATTATTGAATTTATAAATTTATTTAAAAGATAAAAAGTAGTATTAGTTCATAACTCTTAAGTTAAAAACTTATTTTTAATACATTCCTTTGATTATGTGAATATTTTTTAGCTTCGATACGAAGCTGAGAAGGTTTAAATTTTACTGTGTTTATTTTTGTGTATTTATTATTATTTTTTCTCAGCTCTCACCAAATCAATTTCATTTAACGGTACGTCAAAAAATCGCACATCATATCTAATCGAAAACATTACCCTCAAAAATTGTAAAATTTTTCCCTCGTTCCCTGTAGATGGGCGAAATCTTTAAAAAATTACAAGTTTAAAAATCGCTAATTTTCGTCATTTTCAATTTTTTTTTTTACCTAAAACTGCTACAACTTTTTAAAAAAGAAAAGCAGTAAAAATTAGGTAACAGACAACAATAAACGCATCATACTAAAACTAATACCTTTTCAGCTTCTCATCGAGGTAAAAAATATCCGTCTTAGTACGATACTGAATATAATAAAAGGTTCTAAATTTAAAATAACTATTATTATTGCTGACAAAATTATTCACTAGAAAATTTAAAAGTAGCATTAACGATTAATTGTAAAATAATAGAACATATTTTCTCTATTTGCGTAAATACGCATTTTAATAAATACATTTTAATAGATTTTATTTACCCAGTCCTCTAAATTTTAACGAAAATAACAATTATGTACTTTTATATTAAACAAAGAGAACAGTACCATTTACTTGTATAAAAAGGGAAGACGTTCTTTTACTGTAATTGTATTGATATCAAATAATTATTTTTCCAACATGTCTCAACTGTCTTTATTTTTTTTACTTTTTATATATGGTGCTATTGATTTGAGAGTAAGGGCCTCAAAAGTTTCTGAATTTAATGCTTTGGTGCAACACCCAGCGTGGAGAAAATTAACAACGCAAGAAGTTGAAATTAAATTTTCATTCCGTGGTAAGAGTTTTGAATATAATATTAAAGAGTTTACTTTAAATGAACTATTTCCACGTGGTTCGGACACTAGCATTATTACATATCACAATTTTATCGATAGAGTATGGCAATTCCATTTGTTATTGAGCGTTTATTATGGCATTGATCTACAACGTCTAACCGAATTATCGATAGATTTCTGGCATCATTGTAAAAATAACTGCAACGATGACTTGCAAATAGAATGTCTAAAAAGTTTGGCTGAAAATTATCAAATCGTTTACAAAGAACTTAAAAAGATGAATAATTCATTATTATATTTTTTTAAAATGGTTAACATATCCACGAATACTTTAGATAATACACTTATTAATCTCATTCATTATGTTTTAAATAATTTAATAACAATAGGAGAAAATTATAATCTTTTATCAGATGGATATTTTATAAATTGTCTTATAACGATGCAGAATGAAATAAGATCATTTTTTAATAAGCATACTAGTATTTTAAGAATTTTAGAAGGGAATTTATCAGAATCTATAAGTAGTTCTAGTTGGTATATTAATAATCGAAATGCACAACAAGACGATGATAAGCCAATTCAAGAAAGATATCATACAAATATTAGGAATCTTGTTCAAAGTAACAGTAGTTACGGTTTTCATTATGATCNTTTTCAATATGATTCAAATACTTATGCTATTATTCTAATAGCTTAACAAACAATTGTATAGAGTCATTTGGAAACTTAAAATTATAAAAAGTAAACATTTATCTATATATAAATAAAATATAAAATGTAATATGATTTTGGAATTATTAAAATTTGAATGATTAACAATTATATTATTATTATCTTTGATATTTGAAAATAAATATTCCATATCTTAAATACCTTAGCACCATACCTTTTTACTTTTAAAGTTCAGTGAGCTAACAAACTGAAATTAAAAATCAACTATAGTTTAATTAATATTATAATAATTATTATATAATTATATATAATATAATAATTATTGATAGTGAACTACATAAAATATTTTAAGAATTAAACTAAAGAAATGTACTACTGAATGTACACGTACATATTTTAATTTTAAAAGGATATTGCTATATAAAACAATCAGAAAATTTGCTTTATAATAATAGTAGTTTTTATAATTTATTTTTGTAGTGTATTTGTATCAAGTGATATCAAAAGATTTTACTAACTATTGTTTACGCACAGTAATCATAGAACAAATATGTGCAACTAAATAAAAGTCATTGAGGAAAATTCATGCATATTGTACATTAAACCATTTCTCCCATATTGGCTAATTATAATAATGAACTGTGCATGATTATGGCCCTAGTAAGAGTATATGATAAGCAAAATAAAATTTAGCCCTCCCTTGAAAAAATCTTTTATATGTATAAGTCCCACAATAACAAAGATAGGCCTTAGATATACTTCACTATTTTTAATAAACAAACAATTTTTTATAAAAAATTAAGCATTCGTAGAATTAAACAATCCTAGAACCTAAAATATTAAAAATTATTTATTATTGAAATTCAAATACATTATTAAATTTTTTGAGCTAAAATATTAAATAAAAAATTAATCACATAATTAAACAAAATCTTCAATAATAGGTTAATTTATGATGCACATAATTTGTTTTGTTTGATATTTTTAAACATAGTAAATTCATCTATTGTATTGTTTTAACAAACGTTTACCACCATCTAACATAACTATATAAAGTAATGTTTTTAGAACCATTTAATGAAACATATAAGTTCTTTAGACTTTACACATCTTAAATTATTATAAGAAGTATCTTGCTATAAAATTTAATTTCAAAATGAATTTTTATAAATTTAATGTATTTTTTATTGTTTTACTTTTAAACTGTATGGACACATTAGCAGGAAAGGTACGGAATTTTTTATTTTGTTGAGTAAAAATATTTCATAACTGTATTATTTTAAGTCAACTAGAGAAATAACAGAGAAATAGATTCATTGTTTACCACTTAATTTCTTTAGAATAGCATTATCAGTTTTATTTTGGCTTTGTTTTGTAGTGTTTATTTTTCAATTATTAAGTAAATAAATATTTGATTGGTTCATTCTTTTTCCTTTATAGTAGTATCTTGATTATTTTTTTTATTGGCAACATATTACATAGTTTACAAGCATAAATATAAGAAAAATATATAACTTAAGAAAAGGCTAATTGACAACAACTCTATAATATTTTTAACTTATAAATACTTATGTCATAGTATGATAATAAATTTAGAAATCACTTCCACCTAAGTATAATAAGTTTTAAAATACTGGTATAAGAGTTGTTTTCGATTAGTTATTTTCTAAATTAGATTATTATCTTATAATAAACTAGTTAATTACGTGTGTTCTCAATGAATAATATAAAATGAACATAATAAATACTTATAAAGCATAATGAACGAACATTAAAATATTTGATAATTAATATATTAAGATGTAACTAAAAGAGACCACTAATACAAACATTTTCAATATTAGTTTTATTTTTTATTAATTAAGTGGATTATGACATAATAAACACTGTATATCTTTAGCTTTTTTTTTCTTAATAAATTATTAATATAATTATCTCTATAAATGTAATATATACAGAGTGATTTATTTATCAAGACTCACAAAATTAAAATTAATCATAATTACTTACTTTAAATTTTACTCATAAAATATAAATAATTTTGAATTTAACAAATTTTGTTATATATTATCCTTAAACAACTCATGTAAACTCTGTTTTTTAAATGGACACACATATTTCAAACTAAAAATGTGTGAGGTATTTTTTATTAATAAATTGTCCTTAACTTTATCCGCTTATTAAATATAGTACTAAAGTTTCAATTTTTTTAGTTAAACTTCATCTATATAAGGGAATATACTAGACGGTAGCTAATGGATTTGTTTATGACTGGTCTATTCATAACTTCACGACATTTATTGTCAATGATGACAGTAAATTAAAATGCTTAATATTTTCAAAATAATTCTATGTTTATTTAAGTCTTCAAATGCAAAATTGTGTTTTACACTACCTTGATAGTTATTCTTCAATAGAGCTGTATTTGTTAATAATTGCTACGTATCTGTGAATGGCTACGCCGTAAAAAAACCTTTAGCTACTTGTATTTGTAATCCCTCGAATGATTATAAACAGTTAAAATACATAAGGATCGTATGTATTATAACTTCAAATTTAAAACTTTATTTACAAAAATAAAGTTTATACAGTCTAATTAAATATACGCACTGTGATTCCAATATCCCAGAAGACATAAAAATTGTAGCGGCTCTCGTCGCTTCACAATATGAAAAAAGAAAACACATTGTTAATAGAAAAAAGTTAAATAAAAAAATTAAATGTCAAAAATCTTTTTTAAACGCTAAAAAAAGTGGCCTTGATAATGTTTTTAAAAGTGACTGGGTAATTACCCAATTTTCCTCGTAGCCAGCCCACTCTTGATTTAAATTAATTTGAGTTAAATATTAATTTTCACTATCATAGTATAAAATTTTTATAGCACATAACATCAAAAATAATGTCTTGTTATATTTTTATTTAAATTTTATTTATTTGATTCAAAAAATTGATTTTAATATTGTTTATTAAAGTGGCAATTTCCAGTTAATCACATACAGACACATTGTATCATATTGTGTACATAAAAAACTATTTGCTTATAAATGCATTTATTTTTTATGACGATATGTCATTATCTTTTTGGGAAATTTTATATAGTTGAATCAATTGAAATTGCGATTAATATAGCAACAATATAATAATATAATTTTAATATTTATCTTATCCTTATAAAATTATAATATGAAAAAAAAATCTAACAATGAATGATTAAAAAATTACTCTCTGTTGTTGAATCAATTATAAGAAATAGTTAAACAAAATATAGATATTTAATATAAATTATATCTCAATATAGATATCTATATTATGGCCAATTGTTGTTTCTTTATTTAAATGAATCATCTCGTATATTAGATATTATATTAAAAATTATATTATAATGTATTGGTATTGATTACATTATATTATCAAATAAAATAATTATTATTTTTTTATTTCATTAAAACAATTATAATAATGAATATTAATATACTATAATAATTATAGCTACATTTCATAATTTTATACTTATAGATTTCGATAGCTTATTTATTTATATTTAATATCACTGAATAATTAAAATTAAACAGATTTTGTTTAATATAATATTATTATTTGATTTTTTTAAAATATTGTTTCTTTATATTTAGTCTTCGCGTGAAACGAATACTTCTACAAATAAATTTCAAATTCCATTAATTAATGAGGCAATTAAATATATTGAAAAAAACAGAAATGGTTTCAATGAAGCCGAAAAAGAGGCAGTAAATAAATTAATAAATAAATATGGAAAAACTACGAATGAATTGGATACTGATACAGATGTTGATTTAAGTAGACTTTATGAACTATTGAATGATGCAAGAGAAAGTTTAGTTAAATTATATTATGAAGAAGTAGATAATGAAAATAGTGATACTAAGTTTTCCAACGTAGGGACAGCTTTAAATTATTACGAAGGAACTAAGGATATCTTTAACTGTGTAAAAAGTGATGTTGCAGTTAATCTAATTAAAAATTACGGAAAAAATAATTTCAGGCGTGATAGTATGTATAAATAAAATTTATTCTCAACACTATATTCAACTTTCTGCTAAACAAACTATAATACATCATTTTTTAATAATTAAAAGCATAATTAAAAAATTAATTTTTATAAATTGATAAATTACAAAATACGTAAAATTCAAATTAAATTATAATTTTTTAGGTGTGATGGATATGATGTCTATCGGGTACTATAAATCGGTAAGTTGAAAGGATTCTTTTTATTTTTATTTAAGTTAACTTATATTATAGCATATTTACGAAGACATTTTTAATTTATTCAAAGAAATAGTTAAGATTTAATTTTTTTTTTTCAAATTAAGTAAAAATTATGTATGAATTTTATGGTTTTGACAAAACTACATATTTCCATAAAATATTTATTAATGAATAAATTATAAAATTAAAATTTTTTATTAGTTTTTGAAGTTATAGATTATAGAATAGACTAAAAGAAAAGTTAAATAAAGTACTTGAAAATAACTAAAATTAATTAAATATAATAGTTTTTTTAATTAAATTTTTTAAAGTGTGGAATGAATCCTTATGATTGTGTCATATAAATGGGATTTGATCAAAATGAAATTAATAAGTCTATAAGAGAAAATATATGGAACATATATTGATAATTCCAAAGCAATCGAATTGATAAATCTCTACACTATGTGTAATGTTAGATTTTCAAGTGAGTAAAACAAAACTATTAAAATTACAACCAATTTATTTTTAGGGTATTTTTGTAATTATCTGTAAAATAAAATATGTTCACTTAATATGCAAATGCAGGGTGATTGACTAACTATGCCTCACGAATTATCTCTGAAAATATAAGAGTTATAAACAATTTTCTTTTTTTAATCATTATGAATCTTTGATGAGCTGTTTCACGAGAAAATTTAAATTTTTACCACCATCCCTTTTGCTTAAAAATAGTGTCAACTTCATATTTTCAAATGGCAACACTAATTTTTTTTTATACCATTATATTTAGTTTAATAAAAAAAAATGTTTTGTAAAAAAAATATTTTATTTTATTAAATATTAAGCGCTCTACGGCTCTCTAAAGTTTAGGGTTTATTAAGAAAAAATTATTACAGACGAGAACGTTATGGATCGTAAATCGATAAGCGCTACCATTTCTTATCGGTACACTAAATAATAACGATACTATATTTACCCGACTACTGTTTTATTTGTTAAATCCCATAAACTTTAAATAGTAATATCTCGCTTAGAATTTATTAAAATTGATTTTTTTTTTTTTGAGAAAATTTTTTTTTTTATTATTAACAAGATAAATAAATAAAAAAAAACTGGGTTGCTATTTGAAAAACTAAAGTTGATATTGATTTAAGGGTTGAGGGATGAAGATTGAATCTTCATTTTTCTTGTCAAGTAGCTCAACAAAGATTTATAACAAATAAAATAATTACATATACGATAATACTAATATTTTTAAAGAAAATTCGTTAGGCATAGTTAGTCAATCACCCTGTATATACAAGATGGTTATTTTAGCAACTAAATCCAAAAAATAAATTTTCAAAAAACTTATTATTAATAGAGAAATTAAGTGGCTACCATTAAAATAATCACTTTGTAAAAATATTAATCTGTTTATTCAGAACCCAAAGTAAATGATTTTCTACCGCTATTTTACTCGCATGATTAATTTGTCGAATGTGAAATATATTTTAATTTCATTTAATTAATTACACAATTAATTTTTAACTAATATTATTACAAAAATAGTTATTCCTAAATATATAATTGTAGTTTGTATATAATTAATTGTGATAGTTATCATTTATGGGTAAGATTATACCAAAGGTTTTAAATTAAAGTGGTAAATTCCAAAGACAAAATTTTACAATAAAATAGTTTTTTATAACAAAATAACTCCTATTAAGGTTCTTAAATTTTCTGTTATATTATTGGTAATATATCAATATACAAATATTGCAACATTTATAGTAAATAATTTAGTCAACTGTTTTTAGTTTGATAAGGTTTTGTCAAACATAATTATGAAGATTCTTTTTAATTTATATAGTACTTATTCTGAATGACAAATTATTTATTTTGTAGTGAACATACAAGAATTTTATAGACATATTGGAGCCCGCGACAAGACTAAAATTTCATATTTTGAATTAGGCAAAAATAATAATTTCCGAATTTTTTACGTTAATCTATTTAGAAATTATGTCAAAACTAGATCAACATTTATAAAATTTAATTTTCTTATTAAATCTTATGTTATTTACGCAAAATAACATTTTTATGCTAAAGATTTAAAAATAAAGTTAAATAAAACATGTTTATTGTGATGTATGACTTATAATTTTTTGCAAATCGGAAACTAGTATTCATACAATGGTTTAAAAAAAAGTGTATTAATTATCACTAATGATGTTCCTTAAAACATATTATTTTGAAAGTTCTCTATTATTAATTTAATTATATTACATTTAAATTAGTAATATATAAAAAAAAATTTAAGAGAACTTTAAATATGATTTATATCTTTAATTTATATTGATATTTTTTTTTTTTTTTTTTTTTAGAACTGAAAAAATTGTTACTTGATCAAAAGAAAAACTAATACTCTCAAAAATATATCACAATTTAAAATTATTTCAATTCATGTGATTTAATTGCAATCAATTGATGTTTGTAAACTATTTTCCTCTAAATAATAATACTTATGTATTCGAGTTTTGACTGTTTTGTATATATTCAAGTAATTCTTGAAAAAGTTTTTACTAAACCATTGAAAAAGTAATCAAAACATTTTTTCTAATATAAGTCACTTCAAAATTAATTTTTATTTACTCTAAAATATTTAATTTTACTATATTAAACTTTTTCTATACTTGATCTGAGTAATATTTAATATTAGTTAACTTAGCGGAAATATTGTTAACATGTTTAAAAAATATAAAGTTAAACATATTGTAGATGACCTTATGATAATATAATAAAAGTTAATCTGTGAAAGATTAACTAGGTTTTAATATAAGAAAATAATCGTATTAAACAAAATTGCCATAATGCGACAAAAAATCATAATAACATAATTACATAACACAACATAATATCACAATATAAAAAATTAACCAGAGTATATATGAAAAGTAGTGAAAATTATTGTAGCCATTGCCACCAACCAATGCCTACAGCTCGTCCGTCCTGATATAGGTTGACCTCAGACCTCATAAGTAACATAATAAAAAAATGTACATACATCAAAATATATCATAACTCAACATACAGTATCATTACATAATTATCATAAGGAACACTTTTAGTTAAAATTTAGTTTTATTTAATACAATTACGTATAACATAATTACATAATTGATTTCTATCATCGTTATTAATCGGTAATCAGATTGTTTTTCATTTGTTTTCACACAGTTATAGCAGTCTTTTTGTCGATGCTCCATTGAGTCACATTGAAAACAGTAACGCGGTGATCTTTTTAGTTTAGTACAATTTCGAAATGTGTGAGAAGTACTATTACAATTAAAACAGCGTATGACATTAATTGCTATTTGATCCTTCTTCTTGTCTTCAACTTTTTTTGTATTAACTATTTTGAACTATTTTGTAAAAGGTATAATCAAATATTTCAACAGTGTTTTTATGATGTTTTGGCAAAATGTATTTAATTATGTCATATGAATAAAAACTAAACTAATTTAATTGTGAAAGAACACTTGTTAATGTCAGAAATTCTATTGAATGTATTTACAAATTGTTTGGCTTCAGACCTAGACTCATGGCTTGTTAAGGTTTTTAACTTTTGTTGAGATCTGACAAAACATAAAACTGATAACCTTGGTCACTTGTAGTACTAAAAACAGCAAGTTGTTGCATTAGTAAACGATTTTTTCCATCAATAATTGAAACACAGTTTCATATTAATGTAAAGGGCTCTTCCTTTACATTCATTTCTTCTTCCCAAGATCTTTCTGAGTCATGTCACCATACTTTCAATCTGTTTACAAATCCATCAGGGAAACGGACTTTCGAAAACCACTTCTGTGATTGTAGGTGGCAATATAATAATAGAATAAAAGATAATCATTAACTATGAGAGTAAAAAAACAAGGTTTAATGTTTAACATAAGAATAAAATGTATTAAAAAATAAAACTCAACGGTAGCATAGTGGAATCGTGGCATAGTTGGCACAAGTATAAATGATATCTGACATTGATTAAAATCACCATCATCAAAAACGCTTCCATATAAATCTGCATAGTTGTAAAAAATACTTTTAAAAAGTATTTTAAATAATACTCAAATATTTAAAAAAAAATGTATTTAAAATACTATTTGAATACTTTTCATACAAAAGTATTTGAGTAATACTCAATTACTTTACAAAAGTATTTCAAATACTAAGAATACAATTAAAAAATAATAATAATGTTTTTATTTTAACTAAGAGCAAAAGGTTCCACCTAAATAATTACCAAGAGGGTAATTTGAGTCAAATATTGAGTACTCTTAAATTAAGAGAACTCATTTATTATTTTCGATATTTTTTGTTAGAGGTAAATAAAATTAATTATTGGAGACTAATCAGTAAAAAAAATAAATATTAGTACACGTGTAAAAACCTGTAAAGTATGTCTTATTGACAATAGATTAATCATTTGAACCTACCATAGGCTATTGTAGGTTCAACTGATGTATTAAAAATAGATGTATACATAATAGCATTTAGATAAGCACAATAATTATGTTATACTATAATATAACATATAAAATAACAGAGAATTATTCTCAATTTTCATTTTGACTGAGTTTAACTTGCTTGCTGTGTTACGGTTAGCAAATTAAAAAAAAAAAGTATATTAATAGTACTGAATATTAAACAGTATTAAATACTAAATAATTGTATTTAAAATACTACTCAGATACTTTTTATTAAATGTATTTAAAAATACTATTCAATACCAATGAAAGTATTTGAATACTTTTATTCAAATACATTTACTCAAATGCTTTACGCCTTTGCAAATCTGTAGATAGTGTTTAATTTTAATAAATTAGTGGATTATTCCAAAAGCAAAATTAACTTCTATTTCCTTAATTATATCCTAATTAGTGGTTGTTTGATTTTAAAGTATAATATATGAATAAATAATATAATTGATATTTAATAATTTAATATTGTTTTTTTCACTGAGAAACTATGAAAAATAATAATAAAGTAATTGTATATTATTTCGTTACTTCTATGACAAAAATGATTAAAAATTTAAATTATTCAATTTTGTAGTTGAAACCTATTATACATGTTAAACTTAAATCGACAATATATATACTTTAAAAATTAGAAATTAATAGTTTAAATTGATTTTATGTAGAAAATTGGTTAAGCAAATTTTTATTTGATAAAGGCGAAATCATTTTCAAGTTTTGAGTGTAATATCTTTAACTAGACCACTAGTTGTGACCACTTGACGTATTATTGAAAAAAAAAAACAAAGAAAAACCATATAGTAAAATATTTTAATATGAATAAGAAATTCCTTCTCACAAAGGATGACTACAGTGGTGGAGTCCTTGATATTCATTGAATTTATATAAGGTAAAAATTAAACGAACTTTGAATTTTAATCCTACCTCAAAAAAAATTAAGAAAAAAATGCAATAAAGTATAAATTTTGAGAGGTGGGACACGAAATTCGTACCTCGAGCATAGAAGACTGTAATATATTTGACACAGCCACCGAGCATTACATGAAGTTGTAGCTAAAAATAACAATTTAAACTAGTTCAAAAATTTAAAGCAGCTTTTCTTAACTTTGAGTAGGTAAAATATCAAAAGAAGTTTAAATTTTATTTAATATAAGTTAAATTCATGTAAATTTTATAACAATTGTTGGACTCATAACCATGGCAAACGCTTGTAAGGTTTTAAAAAAAATATGTATATTTGAACACAAAAAGTGCATGTCTTACCATACAACTACGGTAGCCATTAGCACATAGAAAATAGGTTGTCAAATTTTTTTTTTCTAAACTTCTAGTACATAACATATGCTTTATTATAACATATATTTGAAACCGGAGTATTTTCAGAACATTTTCAAAACTTAAGTTAAAAAGTTAATTTTATTTCATAAATAAATAAATAATAGGTTAAGTATGAGGTCTTCAATAAATTTATATAAAATGAAAGGCAAATATCTAAGGTTTAATTATAAAAAAAATTATACTCGATCGTTCATTTTTCAAAAAGTTATGGTAGTTTTAAGAAAAAAATTTTAAAAATGTCAAAATTTACAGATTTTAAAAATCGTTATTTTTTTGTGAGATTATCCCATTTACAGAGAACGAAAGAATTTTTTTTTCAATTTTTACACCCAATTTCTTTAACCAGATACGATTTGTGATCTTTTGACATATCGTTGAAAGAAATCGGTCAGGAAAGCTAAAAAAAAGTGGCGACAGACATTAAAGAAAACACATCATAGAAAAATTAATACCTTCTCAGGTTTGCATCGAAGCTAAAAAATATCAATGTCATTACCATAATGTGACATAGAATCTTCATAACATAATACCACAACGCAAAAAAAAAATACAGAGTATATGTGAAAAGCAGTGAAAATGGTTGTGGTCAGTGCCACAAACCAATGTCTACAATTTAAACTGCAAAAAAAAAAACAAGTAGAATCGAAAAACTTTTGATTTTCAATTTGGCACCACAGAAACGACTCGTTTAATATTTCAAGTAGTCTACTGTAACATTGATTATATATTATTAATTTTAATTTTAAATGTATTTTAACAAATAATTGAGCATCTAACCGAATAAAAACCCATAAAATAATTAATATTTCTGCTAAAATATTACACTTTTTGCGTGTAAGTATGTCAAATAATAAACAAAAAAACCCAGCACAGGGGGGTCGCAGCACATTGGTGACGTGGCATAGTTGGATCAAGTATTATGATATCTGAAGTATTATGATATAGTGAATAAAATCACTATCGAAAAAAAACGCTTCAATGCAAACCTTTAGATAGTGTTTAATTTTTAAAACATTGGTGGAATTATTCCAAAAGCTACATGATCTGCTAGTTCCTTATTAATATCCTGATTAAGATAAAGTATGTCAAATAAAAAAGGGCTATTAAAAAATATTATTTCTCATAAAAAAATTTGTTGATCCATATACTTTTCAATAAGTTATAGCATTATTAAGTTAAAAATATAAAAAATAAAATCGAGAATTTTCACACAAAAATAGCATTCGGTAGCCATTTTGACCATGAAGACAAAATAATGTCCGAAATTTTTTTTTTGCATAATAAAGTACATTACATTAGCTTTAATTTGAGATATATATAAAAGTGTCAGACTTTCCGAAACACTTTCAAAAGTTAAGTTGTAAAAGTAAATTTTTTGTGAAAAAGTTGTCATTTTGAATCCCTTTATGAGGGTAGGTGGTAAAGGGTCAGATTTATAAAAAAAATATACCAAATTAAACATGAAGACGTACTGCATCTATAAAAAAATTATACTGATTTGGTTATTTTAGAAAATGTTCTGGCAGTTTTAAGTTAAAAAAATTTTTAAAATTTCGAAAATTAGCGATTTTTTTTTTTTTTTTGAGGTTTCCCCCATTTACGGGGAACGAGGGAATTTTTTTTCAAATTAAAGTATATTACATTAGCTTTAATTTAAGATATATATAAAAGTGTCAGACCTTCCGGAACATTTTTAAAAGTTAAGTTGAAAAAGTTAATTTTTTGTGAAAAAGTTGTCTTTTTAAATCCCCCTCTGTGGGCAGATAAAGGGTCAAATTTACAAAAAAAATATACTAAATAATAGGTAATGATATTATGCATCTATATAAAAAATAATTATATTGATATGTTCATTTTTGAAAAAGTTACGGCACATTTTAGTAAAAAAAATTGAAAAAATTTCGAAAATTAGCGATTTTTAAATTTGTAATTTTTTGAAGGTTTCCCCCATTTACGGAGAACGGGGGGATTTTTTTCAATTTTGAAGGGTTATGTCTTCGACTAGATACGATTTGTGATCTTTTGACGTATCGTTGAAAGAAATCGGTTCCGTGAGAGCTGAGAAAAAGTGGTTACAGACACCAAAAAAAATTAAAATAAACACATCTTAGTAAAACCAATACCTCCTCAGCTTCGCATCGAAGCTAAAATGATTACATTATTGAACAAAACCTTAATGATTATTTTATGTTTTCGTATGAAATCTGTTTTGTTGAATATTTTTAAATGTTTTTAAATTTATATATTAAATTGTTTTAACAAGATTTCCATCTTCAAATTTACTAAACTATATAAAGTAATCTGTTTCGACCCATTTAATTAAAAATATAAGTTCATTATACTTCACGTACCTTAAATTTTTATAAGAAGTGCCATTGTAATAAAATTGAATTTCAAAATGAATTATTATACATTTAATGTTTTTTTATTGTTATACTTATATATTTTATGGACGCATTAGCAAGATCTCTTAACAGAGAGGTACAGCATTCTATTATGTTGTAGACTTAAGAGGCTTACACACTAGGCGTTTAATTTGAACCAGACACACTATGATAAAAAACCGCGTTTGGGCGCGACATTTCGCGTAGGATTGATTTTGGCCAATCAGACTCGACCGATCGCTAAAATTAAACAATACAAATTGCATGTCATCATTTACACGGGTTATTAAACGCTGCGATTTTTAGGCATGTGAGGGCTCATTCAATTTATTTTCACGTATTATTTTAGATTAATTTTTTTTTTGTTTTCTATCTACCATGTTTTGACACAGAAAATTTTTATATATCATATATTTGGAAAAGTAAATTATACATTAACTTCAAATCATAATAATTATAAAAATTAAATTTCGTCGAACATTTTATTTGAAATTCTTTATTTTAACTTTTTGTGAGAAGTATTTTTAAATATAAAGTGGGGACATGGTATAGTTGCGTTTAGTTTAGATTTAATCTGACAGTGATTAAAATCACTATTATAAAAAACACTTCGATGCAAATCTGTAGATAGTGTTTAATTTTAAAAAATTGATGGATTATTCCAAAAGCAACACGATGTCCTATTTCTTTATTTATATACTGATTACAAGTTTTATGATTTATAAGTGTAATATATGAATGAAAATTTATTATAACAAATTAAATGTAATATGAAATTGATATTTAATAATTTAGTATTGTAATTTTTACGGAGAAATGATAAAGTAGTTATTATGATGCAATACTTAAAAAAAAAAAATTGTTTGTTATTTATAAATAAGTTTACTTGGTCTGTAAGGAATTTTCATCAGAGACCAAATTATACTTTTCTAAACCCATTTTTGCGCCGATTTCAAATTTGTAATTAGATTTCCACATATGGCCTAAATAATAACGAAATCCTTCTAATTAATATAGCATATTATATTTATGTTTGATTATTAGGTAACGTATGAATAATCAATATATATACTTTAATTAAAAATAAGTTGTAAAAGTTCAACTTTTTATACGTATTTTTAAATTTTAAATCACACTATATTAATGAAAATGGTCCGATTTAAAAAAAAGTATGTCGAATGAAAGAAGTATGTTAACACTAATAAAAAACTTATCATAAGAAAAATTGTAATGATCCATACATGTTTCAAAATTTTATGGAAATTTTAAGTAAATAAAAAAATTTTAAAATTGCGAAAATTACCGATTTTTAAATTTGTAATTTTTTTGGAGATTTTCCCCATTTACGGGGAATAAGGGGAATTAATTTAATTTTTGAGGATTATATCTTCAACTAGATATGTTTTGCGATCTTTGACATATCGTTAAAAGTGATCAGTTTGGTCATAACTGAGAAAAAGTTTTTGACATCCTTATGAATATCTATTATTTTAAATTAGGACCACCCTAGTTTTTTTAAATTATACTCACAATACACAATATCTTTATAACATAGCTGTTTTAGTAAATATTAATTTAGTTTTAACATATTATTTTGATTTCAACATGGGCGATCCTAGTGATAATTTTTAGGAGGGTGTGGATTAAATTTTGTCAACTGTTAGTGATATATTTGCTGACTAAAATATTTCAATGAGTCAAAGTCCACATTATAAATGAATATTTAATACTTTTTTAAATACTTTTAAACTTCTAATGTTAAAATAGATGATATTCTATAAGATGTAATTTATGATACTAAATATCATATAATAATACTTTTATGTAATTTTTTAGGTTAGATTGAGATTGTTCTTCAGGTATGAAGGTCTTACAGGTAAGACCTGTAAAAATCTTCGGAATAACTCCTCAAAGTTACATAATTAATTTGAAATTAACCTTCTCGAAGTTTTTTTTAAATTTCGGGGGCGAACCCAATGTCTACAACACTTGTTTTTTTGTGTTTTTTGTACAACGGTGATACATGGCGTACACAACATATGTAACTTGTACATCATCTAATGACTCCATTGTAACTTATTTAATACATTAAAAAATAAAAAAAATTATCAGAGCAAATGCTACCAGTAGAAATTTCGAAAGCGTTGTGATTATACTGTAGTTTTTGGCAGGTTAATTTTCTTTATAAAAGCGCGTTAAAACGCTTGCAGTGTGCACATGAACGGCGTTTGCGTTTAAAACTGCTGTGTTTTTAAGATCACGTACTTGCGCGATTAAACGTCTAGTGTGTAAGCCTCTTAAGAATATTTCATAACTGTGTTATTTTAAGTCAAGTGGGGAAATACTAGGGTGAAAATGCATTGTTTGACACTTAATATCTTCTAAAATAATATCATGATTTATTTTTATTTGGTTCTGTAGTTTTTATTTTTTAATTTTTATATGGGTAAATACATTTTTGAATTATTCCTCATAGGTATATCAGTGTTTTTTCATTGTAAATATTTAACATAGTGATGAGCCTAAATATTAGAAAAATATCGAACTTTGGAAATAAATGGTTGAAATTAGCTCTTGGAACAATATTTCAAAAGTTAAAGCACTTTATAAAAGGTAAAAATATGTCTGTTGCGGCGTACCTTACGTTATCGTATAGTTTTTATTATTATTGTTTGATAAGCAGACGATCGATCTTTACTCAGCCGTAAAAAACTAGTCTCCAAACAAATGTCTCATTATTTACATATAGAAAAAATTCGTTTATTAATTCTACAGGGTGATTTTTTTATCATAACCCACTCAATTACTTGCAGAATAATAATAATTTAAACATTTTTTTTTTTTATTATTTTTAGTTACACATAATTCTTGAATTTTTAACTATGTAATACTTTTTAAGTTAATCCCTTATGCCTTGGAGGGGGGTCAACTTTGTTTTTTTAAATGGTAACTCATATTTTTAATTTAATAAAATGTTTGAGTTTTTAATTTGATAGTAAATGGCATTTGAATTTTTAATATAACTTTATTAGCTTATTAGATATAAACATTTAAAGTTTCAAAATTTTGAGTTAATATACATGTATAATACACATGGGATTGTAAATACAGGTAGCTAATTGGATTTTTATGACATTGCTGTCTCAGTCATGGATTGTTTATTATCAATTATGATTATCAATAGATATACTTTCTGTATTGTCAGTTAGTGTATTTATAAACTCATAATAATGTGCCTTACTACAATTGATAATAACAATGCTGTGTACCTGCTAATATCGATGTTATAAAAAACCAATTAGCTACCTATATTTGTAATCCCTTGTGTATTATACCTGTATATTAATTCAAAAATTTGAAACTTTAAATGATTATATCTAATAAACGAATTAAGTTATATTAAAAATTCAAATGCCATTTACTATTAAATTAAAAACTCAAACATTTTATTAAATTAAAAATATGTGTTACCATTTAAAAAAACAAAGTTGACCCCCCTCCAAGGCATAAGGGATTAACTTAAAAAGTATTACATAGTTAAAAATTCAAGAATAATGTGTAACTAAAAATAATAAAAAAAAAGAATGTTTAAATTATTATTATTCTGCAAGTAATTGAGTGGGTTATGATAAAAAAATCACCCTGTATAGTTATACGACCAAGTAGTCTTCTTCTCATTTCAAAATAATAAAATACAATCCACATTCGCAACAATTTCATAGTAGAATAATAAAATTATAAATCACCTCCATCTAGGAATAACAGTGTTAATAAGTTTTGAAATACTGGTACAAGAGTTGTTTACGACTAGTTATTTCCTAAATTAGATTATTATCTTATAATAAACTAGTTAATTACGTGTGTTCTCAATGAATAATATAAAATGGACATAATAAAATACCCATAAAGCATAATTAATGAACACTAAAATATTTTATAATTAATATATTAAGAACAAATATAAACATTATCAAAATTAGTTATTTATTTTAGCTTCGATGCGAAGCTGAGAAGGTATTGGTTTTACTATGATGCGTTTTTTTTTTGTTGTGTGTGTTACACTTTTTCTCGACTCTCATCGAACCGATTTCTTTAAACGATACGTCAAAAGATCACAAATCGTATCTAGCCGAATACATTATCCTCAAAAATTGAAAAAATTTCCCTCATTCCCCGTAAATGGGGGAAACCTTGCGGCAAAAATGGTTACCAAATGCTATTTTTGTGTGAAAATTCTCGATTTTCTATTTTACATTTTTATTTTTATTATGCTATAACTTTTTGAAAAGATTATGGATCAATACAATTTTTTTATGAGAAATAATATTTATATCCCTCTTTCATTTAGGCTGGTGTCACACGAGCGTACAAAATGCGTTTTTTTTTATACTTAAGTTATATTTTGTTCTTTACCAGTATATTAGTTTAGACACGTATATGTTGGGTCTATACAAACATTATTGCAACATGATAACTCACATTAATTTAGATATTTTTTATTTTAAAAAGAAATGTTTTATATTTTACAAATACAATTAAATATTTAAACTAAAATATTACTTGCATTTATAAAAATAACATTTTACTTTTGAAAGTGATGTATTACTAAATCTTAGTTAGTCACAATAAATTATTTAATTTAAAATCAGGTTTTTTCAAATAATAAAGGGTAATTATTTAATCCTAATTTAACGGAAATGGACAATGTTGTCCCTTATTAGAAATCGAACTTACTGATAAGAGAGATAGGTTTTTTTGGATGAAAATAGCATTGTCTGATAGTATAGCTGGATTTTTAATATATCACTAACAAAAGTAAAATGTTATATTTATACATGTTAACTTATAAATAATATTAAAGAGAAACCTACCAGTATAGCTTATAAGGTACATATTTCTCTCAATTTATCAATCATAAAGTGTTGTTCATCTCTTATATATTATAAGGTTGTCCAATTTATTTTTAAAAACAAATACATATATAATTAACTAGATTATTTGTTAGATAATGATTCAATCAAGAGTATGAATGGTTGATAACAACTTTTGGACTAGTAATTGGGAATTTATTAGCATTTTAAATGTAGACTGAGGTGTAGCTTTAATTAATAATTAGTGATTTCTTGGCCGTATTTCTCGTCTTAGAGTCTAAAAGTTATAAAAATTTAAATAACTTCCAAAATTCGATATCGCCCGTCATTTTTTCAATTAAATCATTATCTTTTAAATAATTTAATTAATTTTGAATGTTATCGATTTGACTTTTTATTTTGGAAGTAATTCACATTTTTGTTTATAGTCAAGGCTATAAAGTGCCTCAACATCCGTTTGTATTTTAATATCTAATATCATTCATAATAATAGGTAAATGTTGTAATCAACTGTCAATTTTCTAACTAAATCTATATCTAATAAATAAGCTAGTTATTTATAACATATATAAATATATGTTATAATTTTGAAAAAATACAGTTGACTACCTTAAAAGGTATACGAGATAATCATAAAATTAAGTAAAACACAAAACAAAAAGAAGCCAATAAAAAATTCTGAATATTATTTTTAATATTCAATTAATTAAGAGGTTCAAGATAAATTAATCATAGTGTATATTATATTATAATGTACTGGCGCAATGATAACATATTAAGTTATCAAATAAAATAATTATAATTTTTTTTTTTTATTAAAACAATAATAATAATGGAAATTAATTTATACTATAGTAGTTATAATTACACTTCATAATATTATACATAAATATTTCACTAGTTTATTTAGTGATATTTAATATAACTAAATATTAAACAATTTTTGTGTAATAAAATATTATTATATGATTTTTTTAAACATATTGTTTCTGTATATTCAGACTTTGGATGATTCGAATACTTCTACAAATAAATTTCAACTTTCATATATTAATAAAATTGTTAATGCTTTGAAGGAAAATGTTGTTTTCGATGAAACACAAAACAGAAAAGCTGATGAACTAATAGAAAAATATGGAAAAACTACGAGTGAATTGGATATTAATACAAATGATGACATACTTACAATTTATGAGGCAGTAATTGATATTGTGGGAGAAAATTTTGAACAAATAATTAAATCATTGTGTTATAATAACTATGTAAATAAAGAGGCAGCTTTAGTTCTTCATAGTGATCTATGTGAGGAAACAAATATAATAAATAGAGAACATGCAGTTGATGCAATAAAACTTAACGGAAAAAATAAAATCAATCTAAATAGTAAATATAATTAATTTTTTTTACCATAAATATTCTTAGCTTTCTGCTAAACGGAATAACGGGTATAATTAGATATTTATATCAATGGGGGCTGAAGTCCCGCTATTCATTGAGACCTATTTATTCTAATAAAATGTAAGCAATGTTAAATATTAAAAGGACGTCATTTGTTTTTTTTGACAATATTTCTTTTATTTATATAGTAGAAAACTTCGAGAATTTGCGTATCATTTTTTGTGTTTACATAAATAGAGGCCACCTAGACACAAAGTGTTTCATGCTATAACAAATTCAAATCATAAAATTTGTATTGAATATTCTTCCATATTTAGGTTTTTTTACTTATTAGGGTATAATAATATATTTTTTGGCTTTTAAATATTTTTACAAATTTCATTCATTTTTTCTCGAAATAACATTTTATTAAAACATTTATAAATCAATACGTGTGCATTTAATTATGCACATTTAAACCTTTTAAAGCTTTAATATTTCTAACTTACTTATTTATTTTCGTTTTCGTAATTAAATCGACTAATCACCACCTCCATTCTAAAATATACATTTACCAAATAACTTTACATGTATTAAAAGCCATCTATTTTGACGCTCTCTCGAAATTTGGATTGTTATGTAGTATGTTATTTAAAATAAATTTTCAGCTTGATGATGTTTATTTATTATTCATTTTATTTTACTATAGATGCCTCCAATATATTTTAAACATATAATAAATTAATCATAATGAAATATTATGTATCCATTTATTAAATTTATCGAGGTCTAGAAATCATAACGTCAAGGGGAATAAATTTGAGCTTAAAGTTGCTAAGGCCTTTATCATGATATGTCAATGAGTTTATAACAGATAATCGTGTATTAACGGTGTAAGGAAAGTCAATGCAGTCTTTCTACGAATCGGACGGTTTAATGACAAAAAAAAATTGTGTTAATAGGCCAAGTAGAATTGATTAGTCTGTTATTTTTAGTATTTATTTCTTTATATGACATTAAGTTACATTTACATTAATATCAACATTATGTTTGATCTTCAAATAAATTTAATATTGTACTATCATAATTTTCATCAAACTTCCAGTCAATTAATAAAACAACAAACAGTCATTAAATCATTTTAAAAGCTTTTTAAATAAATTTTACTAACCTCCAAATTCGAAATTTTTTTTCTACAAATTATTTGATTAATTAATTTTAATAAAAAAAATTTTCTAGTCGATCCAGTCAAAAATATTCATTATTTAATACTTAGTTGCCCCTCATTTAGCTTCATATCAAGCTTTAACTTTCTTACCATATATTCTGCAAGTTTTCCACAGTAAATTTAACTACAAGGACATTTTTTTTTTAACTCGTATAAATACATATTAGTGTATAAAAATTGATATTTTTAGAGGAAATAAAAATTAGTTTTAAAGGAGTGATGTTAGAAAAAATGTTTTGATTACAACTACGTAATTAATTTTACATTTATGATTGCGTACAAGTTCAAAATCTAAACGAGTGAAACATAAAATTTGGGGGTGCATAATATTTTGACCACTCTGTATGAAAATAAACTATACACATTTTTTATCTATAACATATTTTTATAATATTTGTTTCCAATAAATAATATGATACTGATGCTGTGATACTTTTACCTCATATTCCCAAAATATATTGGTATTCCTTACCAAAATATATTTAATTAAGGCCAACTAATAGTTACTATAGATACTTGTATGTTAACGATTTCAATAAGTAAGTGTAAGGATGTTTGCAATAAAAGCCAGTATATGATAAATTGAAAAGTCGAATGACTTTTTAGTTAAAAAATTTTATACAGAATCAAAATTCGATATATCGAATTATACGTGGCAATAGATACGTGGTAAAACCTCATAAATCATATTTTTAAAAATTTAAAATTTTTTTAATGTGGGGAAATATGTACACGTTACATTTTACGCGTATTAGTATCTGCAAAGTAAATATTATTATAGATTATTACTGTTAATCTTTAAAAAATAAACCTTATTTGAAACGAATCGTTTCTACAATAAAAAACCACAATAAAAAATTTCTGCTGTAAATTTGGTAAAAAGTAACATACGACGTTTTACCATAAAGCCAACAATATAGCATAATGTCATTTTTTTCCAGTTTATAAATATATAATTTCATAGTGTTTAAATTAAATACTATGCCGCGACCTCACTGTGCTACCGTTTTTTTTTCTTATACTGCCATAACTTTTTCAAAAATGAACGAATCAAAATATTTTTTTTTTATATAAAAACAATTTATAACATTATTTAAAATTGAAGTAAAAAAAATTATATAAATTAAAATTTATGTCGAGCTTAGACAAATATATTTAAGAATTTTTGTATAAATTTAGGCTTTATTTTATTTATGCAAAATAAAATTTTTGTGTTTAATTTGTATCTTTAACATGTAATTGATATTATGATTTTTTTTTTAGAACTGAAAAATTTCCTTGTGTTAAAGAAAAACTAATACTCTCAGACAAATATATAATGTACAATTATTTAAATTTATATATTATAATCGCAATCGATTAATTTTTGTAAACTATTTTAATTTAAATAATATTACTTATAAATTCAATTTTTGACTTTTTTATATTCATATATAAATAATTCCAATTAAAATTTCCCACTGAATTACTTAAATGTATTCAAAATATCTTTTCTAATATCACTCGTAATTTGATACTTAATTTTAATGATAATAAACCAATACATACTTTGTTTTAACACATTTTTTCACTAATTTTAAATCTGAAATAAGATTTTTTCTATCATATCTTCTTTGAGAGTATTACTAATTAGAAAAAGAGTATTTACACATAGAATAATTTTAAATTAAAATTTATGTAATATACTTAAATATTGTGGTTAAAACGGACATCAATTTTAATAAAAAAAAATACGATTTTAGTAAAAAAAATTCTGTTTTATATTTTTAACTTTATAATGTTATAAATTTTTGAAAAAAGTATAGATCAATACAATTTTTTTTAAATAGATATAACAAACATAATATTATTACATTATTATTATAGACTCAACCGTTTCGGTAAACTTTTACAATAGTTTCTTTTAATTATAAAGATTTGAGAATATACTAGTAAATCCTAGTAAACTGTCAATCGCATTCTTTAGTGAAAATTTCCATGATTTCTTTCAATGCTAAATGAAAAAATATGAAATGAAATAAAATTACTAATTATTTTATTATTGTTGTCATTTAAGTTTTCTAATTTCTAAAACTAAAATCTGATGTTTCTAAAATGTCCAAAATATGATGACGATTTTGGTTACATCAATATAGCTGATACATTTATTTTAACCTTTCAAATCTGACTTTTAGGTAAAATTACTCAAAATCAATTTTTAAACTTTGAACTTTGGGAATATGTTTTACTTAGTTTTTTTCCTTACATCATTTGGTTTTCATTAAGTACTAATAATACTAGTATGCTATAGATTATATACCATTCTATTATTAAAATACATAGATTATAAGTATTCTATTTCTTAGTAGGTACTAAAAAATTGTTTGTGATAACAATTATTTTTTTTTTACTAACCATCGCAGAACAGCAAAATATAATGAAAAATTAACTTTTAAATTAGGAATAAGAACCGAAACCCAAGTCAAATTTTTCAGTAGTGTTATTTTTCCTTGTTATGAATTTCATACTCGCTGAAATCTCATTGAGATGACTCTATCAAAAGTTATAAATGAACGAACTTACGATTCCTAGTTATTAATGTTAACATACACATTATTTAAACAGCTTTTTTTCAAATTTAAAACTAATCTATAAAATCGAATTTTCGTTTCATTTGATTCATACTCTAAAAGTTTTAACATTCTATTCTAAAAAAATATTTATCTGGAATATAATTGTAAAATGGATATTAATATATTTCAAGTTTTATTCATCACTTTATTCTCAAATATATTAGCTGTTCAAGGGAATTTTGTGGTAGGTGCATTTATTTCTTATATACTTATACTTTTATCTTTATAGAAAATGGGTATAAACATATAAAAATTATATAAAAGTTACATGAAATTAAAAGCTGATTCTTTTAAAACTATCCACTCGATTTCTCTTAAAATAATAATTATGTTAAGAAATATATTTTTGGTACTTTTTTAGATTAATATATTTCTTGATTTATCAGTTGTAATTTTAGCTTCGAAGCGAAGTTGAGACGGTATTAATTTTACTATGATGTGTGTGTTTTTTTTTTGTGTCTGTTGCCACTTTTTCTCAGCTCTCACCGGACCGATTACTTTCAACGATACGTCAAAAGATCACAAATCGTATCTAGTCGAAGAAACTACCCTCAAAAATTAAAATAATTTCCCTCATTCCCCATAAATGGGGGAAACCTGCAAAAAAATTACAAATTTTAAAATCGATAATTTTTGTAATTTTTTTTCTTAAAACTGTCGTAACTTTTTCAAAAATGACTAAATCAATATAAGTATTTTTTATAGATGCTTGATGTCTTTACCTATCATTTGGTATATTTTTTTTATAAATCTGACCCTTTACATGCCCATAGGACGGGATTTAAAATGACATTTTTTTCACAAAAAATTTACTTTTACAACTTAACTTTTGAAAGTGTTCCGGAAAGTCTGACACTTTTATATATATCTTAAATTAAAGCTAATGTAATATATTTTATTATGAAAAAAAAAAAATTCGGACTTCATTTTGTCTTCACGGTGAAATAGCTACCGTATACTATTTTTGTGTGAAAATGATTTTATTTTTTTAATTTTTAACTTTATAATGCTATAACTTATTAAAAAGTGTATGTCTCAACAAAATTTTTTTATGAGAAATATATTTATCCTTTTTTCATTCGACATACTTTATCTTAATCAGGATATTAATAAGGAACTAGCAGATCATGTAGCTTTTGGAATAATACACCAATTTTTTTTAAATTAAACACAATCTAAAGGTTTGCATTGAAGCGTTTTTTTTCGATAGTGATTTTATTCATTGTCAGATATCATTATACTTGATTCAACTATGCCACGTCACCACTGTGATGGATTTTTTAATAGTTACATATGTATTTCCATTTATTTTTAATTTATTCCTTTTATCACATTAGTTAACTAATACATAAAGTTGTTTAAGAAATATATAAAACTACAAACACAAAAAAGAAATTTTTTAACATAATTATTATTTTAACAAAAATCGAGTGTAAGAGTGGTGGTTATTAAAAGAATCACCTGTATTCCGTTATCTCAATTTGATAATAGTAATTAAATACTTTGCCTTTTAAAAAAAGGCAAAGTATCTGATTTTTTTTTTTTATATATAAGGGGGGATTTAAAATGTCAACTTTTTCACAAAAAATTAACTTTTTCAACTTAACTTTTGAAAGTGTTTCGGAAATACTAACACTTTTATATATATCTTAAATTAAAGCTAATGTAATATACTTTATTAAGAAAAAAAAAAATGTCGGACTTTATTTTGTCTTCACGGTGAAAATGGCTACCGACCAAATGCTATTATTGTGTGAAAATTTTCGATTTTATTTTTTACATTTTTAACTTTATAATGCTATAACATATTGATAAGTGTATTGATCAATATACTTTTTTTATGGGAAATACTATTTTTAATATTCATTTTTTCATTCGACATACTTTATCTTAATCATGATATTAATAAGGAACTAGCAGTTCATGTAACTTTTGGAATAATCCACCAATTTTTTTAAATTAAACACTATCTAAAGATTTGCATCGAAGCGTTTTTTTTTTTATAGTGATTTTAATCACTGTCAGATATCATTATACTTGATCCAACTATGCCGCGACCCCCTGTGCGGGGTTTTTAATTTTATTTCAGTTTATTACTAAAGCACAAATTTCACTATTGATATTTGAATTGCGTTTTTTGATAGTTTGTGGAGTTAGAAAAAAAAAAATGTTTATAACTACCTTGCAATGCATGAAACATACTATAAAAAAAAAATGCGCACTTTAACTCAGGTTATTTCCCAGGTCATACTGAATTTTACCAGCACTAGCTATTTATATTAATATTTCATAAGACGTATAAAATGATTACTTATTCAACTAAATATTGTAAAATTACTTATAGAAAGATTTAGAAAATTTGAAAGCAATTATGATGGAAGAATTTCAAAGAATGGACAATGGAAATGGCAAAGTGGACTTATCAACATTTAATAATATGATTAAAAGTACTTTTCAAAGATCCGTTAAATTACCAGAATTTTTAGATCAACCCAATGTTAAAAGTAATACATTTTTAAATTATTATTAATATTATTATAAGGTATATATATTTTTGAAATACGATTTTTAAAAGTAAAAAAAAAACATAAAGCTTGATAATTTTTATTTTAGATATATAATTTACTAGTAATTTAAATTGATTAATTTTTGTACAATTACTTTTAGTGGAAACCATGGTCAATTATGAAGAATGGCTGAACAAATTTTTCCTTAAATATCAAAAACTTTATTTAGCAACAAACAACCATAGTGGTTTCATTGACAAATCTGTTGCAATTGACTTAATACAACGTTTAAGCGATGAAAATGTTTTATATAAATGTAAGAGCTATAAAAATATTTTAATTTAAAATTATATATATTAAACTATTATTAAATTATTAAATCTCATTTGAAATTTTATGTATAATGAAAATCATAATGTAAAACTATCTGTGTTCGTTGTCTTCTTATATAAATAAAATAATAAAATTTGGTAACTATCTTAGAAAAAAAAGCGTAAAAAATAAAAAAATGAGGTTGTAAAAGTTTTATGGAATATGAATTATAACACTGAATCTTGGGAATCATCATTTAAAAATTGTTCTTTAGTATGCATAAATTATGAATCCAATATACATGTATATGAAATATGTAATAAATTTAGGCTTGTCTATAACCAGTTATAATTTTGTATAGAAACAAGATATTAATTATTATTTTTAAGCTAATTAATAATCACTTATTAAACTTGTTTAATTTATTTTTGCTACCTAATGATATATTGAGAACTTTTCACTTTTATTATTGTTTACTGAAGTCCCTATGGTAAAAATACGTTTCTTGATTTTTAAAAATTATTCAGGAGGAAGAAAAATATAATATTTTTATGTAGTTAACAATGGAATTAAATTTTTAGTAATCCATTGCCTCATGAAAAATATAGATTCATAAGGAACTTAAAAATGTGTTAATATTTCAATTATGTAATAATTAAATGGCCTAATAATTTAACAGCACTGATTTAAATATCACTGCTCTAAAATGGTCCGGATATATATTTAATACATATTTGTCATATTACTCAAAAAATGACATACATTTTGAGATAAGATACCGATAGAGTATATTAAAGTCACTAGAACGTTATTATTTTTTTAATTCCATAATACATTAAAAAATATTTAATAAATATTGGCCATTTTTATCAAAAATTGTATAATGTTTGCTTTAGTGACTCATATAAATAAAGTTTTTCATAGTATTTCTTTATTCATCTTAAAACATATTTACGTTTCGAGTTGTTTAGAACATTATTGAAAATTTAAAAAATAAATTTTGTTATGATGCCTTTTAATTCTTTGCTTATGATTTGAAATGAATAGTTACCAAATTAGTAATTTGAATTTCAATAACAACTCGCAGTGGTTTATTGTTTGAAAATCATTACATTAAAATGCAAATTTTAAATTTGTAAAGACTGTTACATTTTATTTTTTATTTTTAGATGCAGAGGATTTGGTAGTAACTAGCTTCAAATAATACTAATCGAGTATCAAACTGTGGAATTATTTTATTATTTTTTCGGAAAAAAATGTGTGTAGTTTTCTTTTTAAGGTTTAATAAATATACTATGATACAATATAAAGCAGAATTTTTTTTACAAATATTTATGCATTGTAGTTTATAATTTATCATAATATAGTCCACTCAGAAAATTAAATATATAATATAATTTTTTTGTATGATTAGAATTTTATTGAAATATATAAAATTTAAATAATTAAGGTTCTATAAACTCATTAAATTTTCATTTCAAGAGATTAATTAAGATCGTTTTTAATTATCTTTATATTTATAGTTGATACTTAATTTCTGTTTTGTACGAGGCAGCTAGTCCATAGGACAGCTAGTTGTGCATCGCACTAGAATGCCGTTTTACCTTAAGCCTGTTTAAATCGCTAATTATTGAAGTGGGAATGTGTCACCTAGGGGATGACGACTAACGGTACATCCAATAAGTAACGAGAATAGACAATACTTAAAATGACAAATAACCATATATATTAGATATTCTTCAGAGAGTATCTTAAGTTTAAGAGGTAGCGATGGGTAGCCTTAAATACTAATGGCCGGCAAAGTGGCATAAAACAAAATATTTAATCTCAATTAAAACAAACAGTAAATATTATTAAAAAATAATATAAAACTCAGCTGAACAGATGATAGTGATGAGTGAACTGTATGAAATATTGTGGCAATGGTGTCGATCATCTGAGTATGACGAGTCAGAGTGTAGATCCAGGTACATAATGGCAGATGAGAACAAACAACAGAAAAGCTACTATGGCAGTGAAGTAATTTCACGATGGTCAGGGCCCAATCACTGGAGTCATGCAAGAGCATGAGAACTTGAGCACAAGGGTGCAACAAAAAATTATAAAAACTATGGCGTATAACGACCAAACAATTTACTATTCAAGCGAAGGCGCTTGCTACAGATGAGGATGACACATAAAACAAAAAAAGACATACTGACTTACAAAGATGAACTGTACACGGATGACAATTGACACAGAGGCCGTGCTAGATGGGCAAGGGGGTGAGTAAAGCAAGACGCTGGAGATCAGCTGCCACACGATACAATATAATCAACGATGTTAGTAACAACTGGTCTACTAGATATTTGTTAAAGGCGTTCTGTACCAAACAATTTCAGTATTTTAATTTTAATTTGGTAGTAAAAAAATTGTATTTTTTACATGAATGTACTTTTTTTGTTTAAATGATCAAAAGTGCTGATAATTAATAGTTTACTTTAATAATAGATTTTTAGATGTACACACTTCAACATTGAAATAAATTCAGGGATACATAAGTAAAAAAAGTGTGCGATACTTTCATTACTTGTAAGTAAGAATAAATTGGCAACTCTTATATGTTTTTTGCTTGAATTAGTTAAATAGACAACTCTTATTAAAACTTATTTCTAAAATTTGCATCGTAGGTTTTCAGTATATTCTGCTCATGCCATTTTTTTGAAATTATTCCTGGTTGGAACTTATTTTTAAATTTTTTAATTAAAATATAAAAGAAAAACATATTAAAGCAACAATCCTTTATTAAATTACTCAAACTTTGTAACTACTAAGTATAACTATTATTGTAGTATATGATATATGATATATGATATATACTATGATTTAATAATTACTTAATTAATTTTTTTGGTAATATTATTTTGAATACCTTCTTTAAAAATATCTTGTAACGCTACATATTCTATGTGACTTTATAACCACTTTTTTAGATATATTTATTAAAATATAAAATAAGCACTTATTTTATTTTAATTTGCATTTTATTATAAAAAACCCAGCACAGTGGAGTCGCGGCATAGTGGGGATGTTGCATAGTTGGGTCCAGTATAGATTTAATCTGACAGTGATTAAAATCACTATCATAAGAAACGCTTCGATGCAAATCAGTAGATAGTGTTTAATTCTAAGAAATTGGTGGATAATTACAAAAGCTACATTATCTGCTAGTTTCTTATTAATACCCTGATTAAGATAAAGTATGTCGAATGAAAAAGGGATTATTAAAAAATATTATTTCTCATAAAAAAATTGTGTTGATTCGTACACTTTTCAATGAGTTATAGCATTATAAAGTTAAAAATGTAACCAACCCAACCCAACATCAACTCCTATTTCCTTAATTATATCCAGATTAGTAATTATTTTAATTATATATTATATAATTTTTATAATTAATTATTTTCAAATTATTATTGATTTTTAATATGTTAAAAGTAATCATTTTGAACCTACTTCTTTTTGTTCTTTAAAGTGAAAGTTTTAATAAAAAAAAAATGAATTTATTACCATAACTTTTAACTCAACTTGCAAGTTTGAAATAAATATTATTAAATAGAAAAAAATGAAATTGGTAGATTATTTCAAAAACAACAATAACACTTATTCCCTTAATTTTACCCCGATTTATAACTATAATATATGAATACATAATAATTACAGTAATTAAATTGAGTATGAAAGTGGTATTCAATAATATAATATTGTAATTTTTACGGAGATATTATAAAAATAAAAAGGAGTTGTATATTCATATACTTTTAATGCGTATACAAATTTAAAGGAATTTATGCAATACTTTTTAATAAAAAAATTTTGTTACTTATGAATAAATACACTAAACAAAAGGAACTTTCATCAGAAAAAAAATATACTTTTCTAAATAAACTTTTCGTGATGTTTTCAAATGTGCAATTAAACTTTTTCTATTACTTCTAAGTTTTAATATTATTACTTATTATTAAAAAATAAGTATTTACATATAAAAATGATATCATTGGCGTCCTATTGTTTTTCTTGTTTTTCATATTATGTTTTTTATTAATTAATTGAACAAAATCAATAAACTTATTAAAAATTCTTAAGATCATATTATGAGATTAAAATATATTTTCGTTTGGATTTATTACGTATATTATAAATAATAGTTTCATACATAAAAGTTATTGTCCATTTATTTTTATTATTCATAAAATACACGCCAGTAACATTTCTATAAACAAAACATTAGTATTAAATTAAATTAAACATGAACATACAAACAGTTTATCAGTCCTTTAAATTGACTTCTGTCCTATGTAATTAATTAGTTTATATAATAAATTAATTAATATTTAAAATATTGTCAGATTTTCACGAGTAGTCCATTAATTGAATGTTTGAATTTTAATTTGTAAATATTTTGCTATTATATTTTAAAATTTATAAATAACCATTTGAAATAGTGTAACTTCAAACATAATATTACTTACTAGGGAAATCTTTTGATTTTCTTAGTAACTTTTAACACCAAAATTGCATGCATAATTTTTTTTTCTTCGATAGATAATTAAACCATATCATTTTCTAACCAATAAAACACAGTTGTAAGTGAGCATGAAGCAAGTTAATATCCTTAAGTTTGAACTTAATTTCTTGAAGAAAGTTTTCACTTTAAAAACTAAAAATTTGGTAGCAATATGTATCATATTAATACCAATTTATTTAAAGGTCATTAATTGTCATCAATTATTTTAATAAATTTTAATTAATTTGAAAAAAGCCTTATTTTTCATCATTCCCCAGGCGTGCTTTTAAATGGGGAATTTGACATACTTTAGTTTAATTTAGGTTATGATAAAAAATCAATTATAATACAACACACTTTTATTATATTATCATATATTATATGAATTTCTCAGTGTAGAGGAAGTCACATTGAGCTCCTATGTGTAATAATGATTAAAATAAAATATTAAATGGTTATTAGTTAGTACTTTAATAATTACTCAAATTAAAACAAATTCTAAAATGACATCAATTACATGCGACAAGCGTCCGGGCATTAGTTTAGAGGCCAAATATACAAGTGATTTTAACAAAATTATACAATTAAAAAGAGTCTCCTACACCATTGAGTAATAATAAAATAAATGTCTTAAATACTATGAGATAACACATATTTATAAGATTTATAATTATGAAAATAAATAAATAATAATATTAAATATTAATAATTAGAGAAGTAATAAAATAAAGAAAACAATACATTGCACGTATGCCAAATGCAGACCTAGAATATAGAATGAGAGATTATGTTTCAAAAAAAAAAATTGTCCAGAGACCTTGTCCTCTTTGTGCAAGTAAGCGCCGTAGTTAAAATATATGCTGTTTTAGATTTTCAACTTTCAACAGTTATGAATTCTTGAAAAATGTATGAATCAACACAATTTTTTTATAAGTACTTCATACGTATATCTTTCATTCGACATACTATTTTTTTGATGTTGATATTGTAGTACACTTTAAGAAGTTAAATTTTATATAGGTTACAAATTGTTAAATGTTCCGTTACATTTTCAAACATTAAGTTTTAGAAATTTTTTTGTAATACAGAGAGGTCTCTTTCAAACTCTTCCTACACTTAGGGTTTTTTATTATTGTTAAAACTAACTACCTTTCTTTAATTTATAATTTATATTATATATGTACACAAATAGATATTTTTATTGAGCTATAACCAACTTTTTAGAATTTCTACTTTAAGAGAAAGTTAAAATTAATATTATCTTGGAAGTTTATGAAGACGATATTCTGTAATCAAACTATTTACTGTAATGTGCCACACAGTCTCAGGATCAATTTTATATCTCCAAAACTTGTGGTACTATTTTTACAAACTATTCTTTATTAATAATATCAGTTATTAAAGATAATTTTCGAGCTTTAATAACAATATTTATTGTAAGCTATATAAAAAATAAATATTATTCTGCACTGGTATGATATCGGATTCTTCTGGTTACTATATCATATTATAGCCAATCTAATTATACATCTACTCATAACTAATTAATGTAATTTAAATTATTGTTTTATTCATCATGGAATTTTGAAGTCAATCAAAATTTTACTTTTTCATTTCAATTACCATACTCTCTTAATTTTTAAATGTCATGGAAGTAAAAAAATTATTATGAAATAATAATAATATTATATTATTTTTGAAAACAATTATATTTTTACTCCCTATAGTACATCACTGATTTACCCACTCATAATAACTATACTTATTTTGTATTCAGAATTTGAA